CCTCCAGGGACCCAGTGTAAAGGAGCAGAAAATGAGCCCAGCCCCTGGTGCTGGTGTTTACCCTTGTCCCTGCATTCCAGAGGGGACTGGGAGGTGGCAGTGGAAAGCCAACCAGGGCTCTCCCTGTGCTTTGCTTTGGCATCTGCACCGGGGTTTAATTTGCATGTGTTTGGCTGGAAAACTGCTTCATCTTCTGGTGAGTGTCAGCAATGCCACCGAGCCCTTCTGCCTGGGGCTGTCCACCAGGAATTGTGGAGGGTGAGTTCAAGACCAGGCTGGATGGGGTTCTGAGTATCCTGGTTAGTGGAAGGTGTCCCTGCCCACAGCAGGGGGTTGACACTGGATGATCTTTAAGGTCCTTTTCAACCCAAACCATTCTGTGATTCTATGATTCTGTGATTCTATGATTCTGTGAGTCTGTGATTCTATGATTCTGTGAGTCTGTGATTCTACGAGTCCGTGATTCTGTGATTCTGTGATTCTATGATTGTATGATTCTGTGATTCCGTGATTCTGTGATTCTGTGAGCTGGTGGCTCTGACCTGCCCCATCCATCATGAAGTGGTGGCCATCAGCCTCACACCCCAGCTCCTGGTCAGCGTGGATGAAGGAGCTCAGCTGGCATGAAAGATCCTGCTGAACCCACGGCATGAAGGATCCTACTGAACTCATCACATGGATAAGGGAAATTTAATTACATCCGTAGGATTTCCATCAATGCTGAGCAGCAGCAGCCTGGGTCTCAAGAGATTTTTCATTGCATTGAATTTTTGTTAATTACCACTCTCTGATCTCATTTGAGGGTTAAGTTTATGAAACGGAATCCTCATTTCTCTGATTTCCTTATCCAGCTGGTTTATTGAGTCTTGTACGGGGGATGGTTTGGACCTTAGAAACTCCCAAGGTGTCTCACACTTCTGGCATGAGCTGTGCAGGAGAAGCATGGGAGCAAGGGGAGGTGATGGAGATGTGCAGAACTCTTGCTGAAAGACAGAGAAAGAAAACATATCAGGAAAACTGAAAATGAGGACAAAGGTCTTGCTGCCAAATTATAGCTCATTTTACCTCCAAAGGGAACTCCCCCTTCCCACATGGGATGCTGAAGAGCCACCACTTCAGCCAGCCAGGGAACATTGTGGTGGGGGGCTTTAGAAGAGTGCCACCAGCCTTTGGTGCCCCCCAGGCTGTTCACTTCCTCATGGGGAAAGCTTTCCATCCTGTGTTTACCCAGGAAGCACCACACTTGGCTGTAGGCAGTAAGCAGAGCGCCTGGCTTTTATCTACACATCAAATTTACTTTCTTTTTTAAAGAGAAAATAGCCACTGAACAGCCCTTGAAGCTTGGGGCTAGTGTCTAATTCCACTTGAAGAGCTTTGTTAGATAATTGCAGTATTTTTCTGAGAGAAAATAGAACAATCAAGGCTTGTAATTAAAAGCCATTCAGGCAGCTTTGATCCTTCCCTCTGCATCTTCACTTACCAAACACAAATGCCAACAAGGACTCATGGCAATATTTACAGTCGCTATTCTTGGCCCTTGCCTTTAAATTAACTCCTCTTGCTCACTTCCAGTCAAAAGGAGGAGGAGGGAGGGAAATGGGGTTTGTGGTTTTTCAACAGGTGTTTCTTTAGAAAGATTTTCTTGAGGATGCCTATATCATGGAATCATAGAATCATTAAATTTAGAGAAGCTCAACGAGTCCAGCTGTCAACTCAGCCACACCACCACGTGCACCACTAAACCATGAAATGTCACACACAGGTTTTTTGAACACTTCCAGGGATGGTGACTCCACCACTGTCCTGGAAGCCTTTTCCAGGGCTTGACCACCCTTTTGGTGAAAAAATATTTCCTAATATGTTAATCAAACCTCCCCTGGCACAACCTGAGGCCGTTTCCTCTCATCCTGTCACTCCATGATGACAATCCTGGAGCTCCTCTGGAGGCCTCAGAGCTGCCACAGAACAAGTTTATCACCCCAAAACTGCTCCAGGCACAACCTCAGCTGCAGTGGTGGTGTGGATGGGGCAACACCCACACACTCTGCCCTGGGCAGGGACAGGGAGCTGCCAGGGCCATGTCCCACGGCCCACAGAGGATGCTCAGGTGACCTCCTGACTCACTGTGAGAGGAATCCAGCCTGGGAAGTCCCCTTCCCTTCAGCAGCAGGTGGGAATGTCAAACCTTGATGTGCTGAGACCCTCTGAAGGCACCAAACTGGGTTTGTTTCTCCCAAAATTGGCAGTAAAGCTGGAGGGTCACCATTTCCTTGGGTTCATGGTGGGACCATCAGTGGATGACCAGCACCCAGGGGCTCCCAGCAGTCCCAAGGAAACAAGGTGAGTGCTACACATGTCAGATTGTACAGGGAAGGGACAAACTCTCTTTCTTGGTTTGATTTGAACACTATCTTCTGGATACCCTTCTGCTTCTCATCTTTTACAGTCCAAGTTTTTACTTATCCATGTTTAATTTTTATTTTTATATTTTTCTCACATCAAGATGCTTCTGAGAGCCAGGCCTTCAACTCTCAGTGGGGCATTATTTCTTTTCTCCCCCAAAAATCGTGACCAGCCTTAGGGAGGCAGTGTGAGACTGTCTAAGACCCGGGGGATTGGAGCTTCCCGGGAGAACAAGCTGCAGCACGGCTCGGATGAGGACAATTGATCCAAGCAGCCAATATTGCTGCAGCACGAAGACTTAAAAAGCAACAACTGCTTCCGATCCCCCGCCCTGGCTCCGATGCCTGCAGTGGGAATATGAGCCCTAATTCCTGTTCCGGGGCAGGAAATGGCTGCCAGGGATGATGGAGCAGAGTCCTCCAGGGCTGTGTCCTCACGGGTGTGACAGAAGGGAGGTGATTCCCCCCCGCAGCAGGAACCTGCTGCTGCAGCAGCAGAAAGGCTCCAGCTCCTGCCGTGTCCAGGGAGCTGTGCGGCTGCACCGCTCCTTGTCACACATTAACACAGCACACTCTGTGCCAGGAGGAAATCTCCTCGGTTTGAGGCTGAGCTCCCTTCCCTGCTCTTGGCTGGAAAGGGTTTAGGAGAAGGACGGAGCCCTGAGGTTCCTAATTCAGCCTTCTGCAACCCTGCAGACCTCACACGGGATGCTTGCTTTCGGAGGGGATTTATGCAGTGAATAGCTAATGGGGTTATTTCCCTGCTTCCAGTGTTCAAGATGCAGCTGATGTGGGCTGCTGTGACAAGCCAGCCCCAGCAGTGGGAGGAAATTCAAAGGAACGAGCTGGCGTGCGGGGTTTCCCTGGGGAGATCTGCTGCTGGGAGTGGGCAAGCGTCTCCTTGGAGGTGTTTTCTGCTCTCCCAGAAGAAGCCGAAGCAGCCCGGCTTCGGATGCTGTGCTCTGAGTGTCTACCCAGGCACGGGAAGGCCAAATTTGCTGGCTCCCGGCAGAAGCAGGGTGCCAGGCTGTGTGTGAGGCCGAGGATGCTGCAGGGATGCAGCGATGCTGAGCCGAAAGCAGCGAGTGCCGCTTAGTGCCGCCGGGCTGAACCGCACCGGCTCCGGGGCTCCGCGGGAGCCGCAGCCTCTCCTGGCCACGGGAGGAGACCTGGCCAATGCAAATCCTTCTCTCCTAGAAGCCTGGAACCCACACGAGGGGACAAGGCTCGTGCCAGGTGTTTGACATGGCGAAAATCGTGGATGCAGCAGGATGCTGCCGTGGGGAGATGCTGAGATGGCGCTGCTCGTGCTCAGAAAGGGAAGGGTCAGGGCATGCAAGAAATGGCTGGAAGTGCCTGTGGAGGGTTCAGAGAGAGGGAACCAGACTGTCCTCAGTGATGTCCAGTGAGAGGACAGGAGACACGAACTGAAACATGGAAAATTCCATTAAATCATAGGAAGGAAATTCACTGCCAGAGTGGTGAAGTACAGGAACAGGCTGTCCACAGTAGCTGTGGCATCTCCATCCTTGGAGATATTCAAACCCAAGTGGACACGGTGCTGGGAAATTTAACCCTGCTTGAGCCATGCTGTACTTCTGTGACTGTCATGTCTTGTGATTTAACAGAAAAAGCTCCAGCAACATCACTGTCATGTCTGAAGTGGGTAACTCATGCTGAAAAGGTCCTTTCCATCTAAAAAAATACAGTAGTTTTTATACTTCATAAAATATATTGCCTTTCCTAGAGCCCCAATGCCAAAGAACAGCGATGTTTCAGCTGATTGGGCAGCTTGTGTGAGAGGTGACATAATTTGAGTCAGTTTTCTCACTCAGAGAGGTTTTTCCACCTGCAGGTGGCAACCACGCCAAAGCAAAATTCCTGGAGAAGTTTTGCCTGGAAGAATGTGTTCTCCTTCACTGTTCTACCACAGTTAGCACCTTTAATATGAAGAAGGCAACAGAGCGATCTTGTATCCACACATCTGTTTTTAGTTTCCTGTAAATGAAATTTCCATCCCGAGGTATCGAGGGTTGTCAGTTTTGGTGTTGGGGTGCTCAGGACACTGAATTTTCCTGAGCAGTCTCACCCGGGGTCTCCACCCACACCCACCCCTGGCTCTGAGAGTCCATTTCAGCTGAGAACTGCAGTCTCCTTTCCTTTTGTGTTCCCTGTCCTGCACTTTCCTGGGGGAATTTAGACAGGTAAGAGCCGAGCTTGGTACCTGGGGTCAGGGGAAAGCTTGAAAGAAATATTTTAGCTAAGACAGCCTTCCTAAAACCAGTAACATACAAACTTCGCAGGGCTACAGGTGTGAGAATAAGTTTTCCAAGCTTTTAATATGGAGTTTTTGATCTCCACACCCTCCCAATCAAGTCCTGGTTTTGTTCAAGTATTTTGACTATTTATCTGTGAAAGAAGAAACTTTATACCTGCAGTGCTCACTAGAGTTTCTCTTATGGTTTACAAAACACCTTGATTTTCTTGCAAACCTACTGTGTTTTATTTTATAATAGGCAAAATGCAATATATATAGCAAAGATATGGCACAAGTAGCATAAATTTTCTCTTGTGAAAGAAGGACCAGTCACTTTTTTCCCCCATGAAGTTTATTTCATTACTCACTCAAATAAATATGTATTTGACACTTAACAGGAACAACTAGTTCAAAATGATTTCTAATACAAGTTCTCACAGTTGTTATAGTATTTGTATGGTGTGCTGTTTAGCACTATTTTTGAGACTCAAATCTTCCTTTTGGTCTAAATTTAACAAGTCAGAAAAGAGGAAATTTGTGGTGGGGTAGAAGATGAACATCCTTCAAAATCAAAAGAAAGCCATAACACACAGGAACATACATGAACATTGAAAATAGTTTCTTTTCTCTTCCAAATACTCATCCTCTGTTTTACTGATGTTTCATTGAAAGTGCTCATTAGCTCTGCTCCATTCAACAATTCTCCCTAATAACTCAGTGACAAAGAACTGAGCTTTGCACTCGTCTGGAAATCGGTCTCCAGCCTGTCCATGCTGTACAGCAGATGGCAATAAAGGACCACTCTGTGGCACAAGTACACCCCTGAAAAGTAAATGTTCTGTCCTTAATAATTCAGAGGGTGAAATTAAAAATCAGGGTCTAGAAATGCAACTCTGAGAAGTTGGTAGGAGCAAAGAGGGGAAATACAAGAGTTGCAAGTGGGCACGACAAAACCTGTTGCTGATGAAGGTTACAAGCAGACCACACATGACATGTAAACAAAAGAAAGGACGTTGTGCATTCATTGGCCACTTCTCCAGTCTGCAAAGTTGCCCCTGAAAAGCCCCAGAAGGGCAGGGACCTGCCAGCCCCAACCCCCTGTTCAAGAAGTTCTGCATTCCAGCAACTTCCGGAAACTTTTCCGAAAACTGTCATCCAGGAAAGCGTACAAGAAGGGATTCAAGCATGAATTGGCATAGCTGAGGCTGGTGATGAAGTAGGATATCCCGATGACCATGGAGGTCTGGGGTAAGTCAGTGGTCAAAGCCACGATGGTGGCCAGGTGGAAGGGGGTCCAACAGAAGAGGAACACAGCCAGGACTATGAAGACCATAATGGTGACTTTCTTCTTGGCTTTGTCCAGGGCTCTGGCATTGGAGTTCAAGTGCATGTTCCTCAGCTTGTAGAGCATCATGGTGTAGAGGATGCAGATGGTGGATACCGGAATGGCAAAGCCAAGGATGAGGGTGTAGATCCTGCTGGCTTTGAACCAGAACCTCTCAGGCTTGGGGAAATTGAGACCACAACTCTTGATCTCCAGGTCGTCGGTGTAGACATTGGCAAAGATGATGAAAGGGAGGACTATGATGGTGACCAGGATCCAGATGCACAGGCTGACAATCCTGGCTGCTCGGTACGTGCGGTGGGGCATCCTCTTGGACCTGACTGTGGCCAGTACCACCAGGTACCTGTCTATGCTCATCACTGTCAGGAAATAAATGCTAGAGAAGATATTGTAGTGGTCTATGGACAAGATGACCTTGCAGAGGATTTCTCCGAAGGGCCAGTAGCGGAGGAGGTGCTCTGCAATATTGATGGGCAAGACAAGGGTGAACAAGTCATCAGCGATAGCGAGGTTCAGGATGAACATGTTGGTCACAGTCTTCATCTTGGGGGCCTTGAGGATCACATAGATGACAGCAGTGTTGCCTGTGAGTCCCACAGCACAGATCACAGAGTAGATCACGGGCAGGACAACGTAGAAATCAGCTGCCTGCTCTTGGAGGGTGAAATTGAACCTCATGCTGTTTTCCAGGTAGCAGCTGTTGCCTGCGTTGCTGCAGGAGCTGTTCAGATCATCCCAAAAGGAGATGTTTCCCATGCCTATTGATCACAGACCACCCTCAGATACCACTGAAAGCCTCACTAGTACAGAAGTGAGAGGTTTTTTGTTTGGTTGCGTTTTTCCCCCTCCTGTGAGAAGCAGCTGTTACCGCATTTAGATGCGGCTTATTTTCAAAGGTGAGTTCTGAGGCTTCATGGACCACCTAACTTACCTCTCCCCCCTGTTGGAGAAGTTAAATTTTGAAGTGATGATGGGAGAAAAAAATGTTTGTAAGACATAAGGCTCCATGAACCAAGAAACGAATGACTTTCTAAATAAGTCAAGGAACTCTTCTTTCCAAGAGCATTCCGACGAGCTTTGGCTTTTCTTCGCTGGGGGAGCTGAGCGGCTCCTGTTCAGCTGTCTGCAGTGAGAGTTCGGCAGTTACAAGGAGGCAGAAGTGGGAATTTCGTGCCTGGCTGGCTGTTCACAGCCCTTGGAGGACCGGAGGGATGGCTGCTGTTTCTCTGGCACAGCTCTCGCTTTCCAGTGGTTAATTAGCACCTGTCTTTGTGTCGGAGTTCAGGCTCTTCACGGACTGGGATTTCACAAACAATGAAGAAGTTTCTGCTACTCCCCACTCCCAGGGTCCCCTAGCAAAAGAAGGAGGGGGGAAATAGTTCAGGGAGTATTTCTGAAATTAATGGTTAAAGGGATTTTCCTACAATCAAAGTACACCTTTAAGCAAGGGTGGGCTATGAATTTACTCACTCTGAAAACCATCCCCAGTACAAACAACTGGCAGCACCCCGAATTTGGCACAGACAAACCTGTACATCTCAGAAGTTCATCAGGTTAATCAGGGAAGAGGGAGAAAAGTACCCTTTAAAAAAGCAAATCCACTTTAGAGACACGGCAAGAATCATCCCACCTGTAGCAGTTACCACATCCATCACTACTGCCTATACTTCCAAGAATTCCTCCACAGGGAATAAACAAACAACCGACCCCTACCCTCTCTGTGAAGATCAAAGGTTTGGCAAGCTCCAGGCTCTGCAAAGAGAAGTGCCTCACTTCTCTTCCCCTTTGTTGTCACAGCAATGAAGCGAGTGGGACTGCCGGCGTTAGGGACGGAGGGCTGAAGTGTCCCTTACCTGGGAGCGGCTCCGCTGCCTCCTCCAGCACCGGCTGCTCGCACTGCCGAGCCTCTTCCCTCTAATCCGAGCTGGAGGAGGGTCTCTGGGCTGCTGACGTTCCGGGATTTGCAGTCAGATCAACACGATGCTTCTGTGTGTGCGCGTTGCGTGTCTGAGCAATTAGCACTTGCTCAGATCAGGAAGGGGGGAAACAAGGGGTTTATCTCTGCAGGGTTATTAAAATAGCAAATAGGGTGGATGTTTCCTTCAGGAATGAGGGAGATGCTGAGGGACACAGGCAGCACCAGGACTGGCTGAGTGAGGGATGTGTGAAACTGTGGGAAGCAGGGGGTTAAACTGCTTCAACAGGGAACCTTGGCTGGTGTTAACAAAGTGTGTAGGAGGAGGGTGAGCCACGTTACAGCGTGCAAAATAAACAAATAAACAGACGTACCTTGCAAGAACTGTGCTGTTTTCGGCTGCTCTGAGGGAGTTTGGCTGGGTTTCTCCAGCTGGGTCTCTGATCCGGCTTTGGAAATTCAGTGAAATCCTTCAGATTCACAGTGCATCAGGAGGTGCAGCAGTCCTGTGAAGCTTGTTGGAAATGCACCCCAGGTTACAGAGCAACAATGTAAGATCACTTGACCAGCATGTCCCTAAAGAAAAAAAAAAAGAAAAAGGAAATCAAGAGTCTTTTGATTCTCCTTTAGTCTTTTAAATGTTGCCTGACCTTTGTTTCAAGACAAGGAATGGGAAAACACAGGAATCCATCACTGCCATGCCTGGCTAAGTGCATTTAACCAGGAGGGCCAGCTCACACACCTGAGCCAGTAGCCAAGAGCTGTGTTTGACTTTGCTCCTCTTCTTTGGAAGTTTTTTTATATTCTTCTGGCAAGATTATTGTGCACCAGTAGCTGGGTAGGAGTATAACATTTCACTGCACTGGCTATAACTGACTTTTCAGCAGATGGGATTTTTTTTTTATGCCCAATGTACAACCCTTCAAGATATTTTGTGTACTGTGCCCAAAATCTAACCAGATGCTGGACTTAAGGAAAATGAAACAGGAATTATATTGTCCAATTATATTGCATAGAAATGATATGGATGATACTTCTTCAGACGAAACACCCCTGGAGCTTTCCTCTTGCCAGTTTTGGGAAAGCTGATGTGGTTTTTAAGGAGTCGTAAATGAAGCAAGGCTTTGGTAGGTCTGCAGGGGGAATGCAGTTTCCAGGAACTGCTGTTGTCTTTTTTCAGAGAAAAACATACAGGAAGGCAGAAAAATTCAGGAGAATGTGATGCTACATTTACTGATCTGTAACTATTCCCTGGGACAAAAGGGTTTTAAAATATTTTTCATTCACAATCCTTTGAGGCTTTCTGGTTTTCAGCATAAAGTATGTCTCTGGGATAGCTTAAAAGCTGTTCTCTCTCTTCCCAAACTATATTATCTCGGAATTGGCATCATGCTGCCATGGCCAGGGGTCGTGTGCCTGGGTGCTGTGTGTTTGAGGGGCTGGGAGCTGAGGGGGCTGCAGGAGCTGTGGTGCTGATGATGCTCCCCTGTGCTTTACCCTCTGCCTCGTGCCTTACTCCTCATTATCCACAGTGAACATGCTCTCCGTGCCTTGGTTAGGATGTGCTTGATTAAAATAACCTGTCAGAGATGAGATGGAGACTAATTAAAGCTCATTGCCTGGTGTGGGGAGAGGGGCTTTTGCTTATATGCCCCAAACAAATTAGTGGCACCTGCTTTTGGAGCGTCTTGCCTGGTTCTCCAATAAAACTTGTTTGCTTTGGGGAGAACAATTGCCAACAGATCTAAATTCATGTAGGAAATTGCTTTGCAGTAGGAACTGTTCTACTAACAGAGATAATATTTCTTCTGTGTGTCTCTAGGCCCAACCAGGGCCAGAGGCTGTGCACAGGGGAAACAGATCCATGTATATTGGTGTGATGGGGAGTGATTGGAGAGAATGTTTTACTCTTGTCTTCTCTGGCTGGGCATCCCTTGATTATAAATGTTATAGTGGCATAAAGCCCTGGAAATAAAGCACTGGTTTGGAGATGCTGCTACAAAGGGCACGAGCTGTGCTTTCCCTCAGAGCTGCTTGGACCTACTTTTGTGCCAACAGCTCCATCACCAGCACAGTGACACAGGGACAAAGACTTTATTCTTGGCAAATCCGTGCCATGGAGATGGACTTTGCCTCTTGAAGCCCATGTGCACACTGTGCAGCTTGGGTCAGCTGTGCAAACAAAGAAAAGGCAGCATTTTAGGGAGGGGGAAATCCCTGCCAGTGCTCAGTCAGTGGTGCTTTATTGCCTTCCTAAAGCTGATGTGCTGCTGGCTCCAGACAAAGGCCATCCACCATTTTGGAGTTATGGAGAACCTGTTTTGTTGGGCTCCTGCTGCTGTCAAGGAGTCAAGTTCATCTCAAGGACACAGATATACAATCAATAATCTGTTTACCAAAACAAAATGTTCTCGGCTGGCTGTCTTGCAGTCACTGGTTATTAAGGTGATTTATTTGTATGAAGCATTCAGGCTTTCAAAAGCATTGCAGGTTAATAATAGAATCAGGGAGTAGTTTGGGTTGGAAGGGACCTTTAAAGGTCATCTAGTCCAACCCCCCTGCAATGAGCAGGGACATCATCAACCAGATCAGATTGCTCAGAACTGAACCATCCCACCTGACCTCGAATGCTCCCAGGGATGGGCCATCTACCACCTCTCTGGTAACCTGTGGTAGTGCCTCACCATCCTCACTGTAAAAAAATCTTCCTTCTTATATCTAATTTAAATCCTCCCTCCTCTTCCTTCTTATATCTAATTTAAATCCTCCCTTCTTCTGTTTTAAGCCATTCCCCCTTGTCCTACTACAACAGGACCTGCTGTCCTGAGAAATGTCTGAAATTGCTTCTGGCAAGGTAAGTGTGCCTGGTCAGGCTGTTTGTAGGATAACATTCACCCACAAGCTGGGACATCCTCCTGCTTCCCCCCAAAACCTTCCCAACCATATTGAGCCAGGCTTAGGCAGGTGATGCTGCTCACCTTGGAGGACACCTCAGGGAACCAGGCAAGAGCTGCAGGTGCTGAGGGGTGACTGCAGGGCAAATGTCCCCATCGGTAAACTGGTGAATTGTGGGCAAAGAAAGTGCTTTTGAACGGTGATAATTGTCATGGATCCAGGGGCTGGTGACACATCCTGCCCACCAGAAAGCTGCAGTGAAGGCAAAGGGGTGCAGGAAGTGATTTAAGGAAAATGGGAGTAACAGTCCATAAACAGCCTGTTTTTGTCAGGGAAAGCACATATCAATAACTGCCCCGTCTGTCTCTGCAGGGGAGCAATCGACACAAACGCCCTGTTAGCAATTTCCTCAGAGCAGCTGTGATGGGGAATAAAGCTGTAGCACCAGGAGCTGGTGGGTGGCTGGCTGAAGCTGTTTGCTCCCTGCCAGCCAGGAAAGAGGTTGGGAGTCTCCTGCAATGGGTCAGCCCACATTCCCAGCACTTCTTGGAGACCCTGGCTCTTCTACCACACCTTCCCCAGCCCCGTGGTGCTGGCTGGGGCCACCCAGAGGTGCCACCAGCCGTGGAGGATGAGGGGCATTGCAAGAGGCTGCCTGGCTCCCAGCAGGAGCTGTGCTGTCAGATGTGTTCATTAAGGGAGCTCTGGTAGATACTCGTGACAGTGGGAGCAAGGACGCAGTTCCAGTCCTGCTACAATTAATTCATATCTGTGAGAATTTAGAGTGCAGAGGGAATGCTGCTTTAAAAACCCTCATTTTCTCTCCCACTCCCTGCTGGTCTGGCTTCAAGCAGCCTTGCTCCAGAGAGAAATTAAAATCTGCTTCCATTCCAGGATTCTTTTATTCTCCAGCATTTTTTCCTGTTTTTCTCCAGGGCTGGAAGTGAGTGTGTGCTGTGGTTGGTTTGCTGCCCCGAGCCAGCTCAGTCTGTTGAAAGCAGAGCCCTTTGGAAGAGGGAGGTTTCTGGAAGTGGACTGTCCCCTTTCCCAGTGCTGCTCATCACCTTGGTGGCGTGTGAGGGGCTCAGAGTAGTGGCCTGGGGCTTCCCTTGTGTCAGTGCTGCTACAAGGAGTGGGCATCTGTGCCTGCAGTGCTGTGATCCATCAGCATTCCTGGCAGGAATATACATTATTTAGCTGCTATTAAGCTGGTTGTAACACGGCTGCTAAAAGCCCTTGGTATTTGCCACATCCAAGTGAGATGAGTTTTCACTTTGACTTTTTTAATGCCACCTGAACTTTCACTTGTGCAAAGTCACCCTTTCTGTCATTGCTTGACCTGCTTGGAAAAGCTGAGAGTCTGTACAAACAGCAGCACTGCAACAGGGCCATAATGCATCCTTGGAAAAGCAGCCTGGAGCCCTTCAGGGATCTCACCGGGGAGCAGGCTCTGTGCAATATATTCCAATATCTCTAAGCAACAGCTTGATGTGTTGCCTTGTCTGCTTAAATAGCAGAGCTCCTCTGGCCTAAAAGCCTCAGCACCAAAGGCTTATGGAATGCAAATTGCTGCTGAATGAATTTGCTGCTTTGTTCAATCTGCTTTCCCCTCCCTTTTGTGTTATGACAGTGAAATGACTCATCTTCACCTTAATATCATGTTTTAGAGAAATGGTCTAATATTTTGTACAATGTTCATTGTAAAAAACCCCAAACCAACAAAACAGATAAAATCTGTTTTCTGGAACAACGTTTTCCCTTGCAATTACACAGAGCTGGCACCTTTCTCCACACTCTTTTGGCCAGCAGAAATTGTGGAGTACCAAGTTTACAATACCATCAACTATTGTAAGGAAAAGAGGGAAAAACAGAAGGCCTGGTTTGAGCTTAGTGAAACTTGCTTCTGGCTTTGGACTGCAATAATTTATTACAGCTCTGTTTTACAATTAATACCAGCCTGACCTACTTAAACAGGACATCATAATTCTTGTGGCCATGTATGTGCTCATGAAAATTCAGTGCTAAGAGCATGAGCTGTGTTGGTTATGTCAGTGTGATGGAGAAAAAATGTAAGGTGGATAACTAAGGTGAATTGAGTAGGAAATTGTGTGCTATAAAACTCATAATTTAAAATGCAAAAGATAAAAGGAAGAGGGAAGGGATTACTGCAAGAAGAGGTTTAAGGCTGGTGCTCTCAGCACCCCATGCTCGTGGCCATAGTGGGGATGCTTGAGCAAGTGGAGGAGGGACTGGATTCAGTGTGGACCCCAGAAACAGCCAAAAGGGCAGTGACAGTCAGAAAATCTTGGCTCTTCTCTCTTTAAAATCTAATTTGAGCCCCAAAGCAAAGCCCCAAATATAATTCCTTGGGGAGGGAAGCTCTGAGGTCTTTGACTGGGGCTTTCACAGCACGCTGGGTAAATAAAGCCTCCATCAGAAATCATATTGGTGGAAACTATAGATAACCACACCAAAAAGAAGTTTTGGATGCTTGTGGAGGAGAAGCAGAAAAAGCAAA